CGCCTGTAGTCCCAGCTACTTGGGAGGCTGAGGCAGGAGAATGGCGTAAACCCGGGAGGCGGAGCTTGCAGTGAGCTGAGATCCGGCCACTGCACTTCAGCCTGGGCGACAGAGGGAGACTCTGTCTCAAAAAAAAAGCTAAATAAATAATAAAAACCACCACACAGAATGGAACAGAAAGAAAATATTTCTCTTGTGGATGTTGTGACTTTAATCAAGCTCTAATCTTCTAGGAAGGTCCAAACCCGTTAGTACAACACAAAGTCAGCCACAACCTGGCCTTACCTCAAGATAGTTATTGGCCCCTAAACCTCATCCACAAGCCATTCATTTTGCTACAAATTCTTTTCACTTTTATCCTCTAGACTGTGCCTTTGCAGGTGCTATTCTCTGTTTAGATCACACTTCTTTTTCTTAATTACTTTAAGTACACCAATTATAGGAATCCTTTCCCACCTTTCCCGACCATAGTTAATAGCTTCCTTCCTCCATTGTACTCTCATAGTATGCCGAGGGGTGACATAATTGTAGAACATACTGCCTCTATTGTGATTTTTTCCATTGAACCAAGAGTTCATTTGGGTCAGTAACTTTTCAACCGTGCCTTGCCTATGGTGAGCAATTAGGATTTTTTTTAATGAAAGTGTAGTCTTATGGAGATGCAGAGTAGAAGGATGATTAACAGAGACTGGGAAGGGTTGGTGGGGTGGGGAAGTGGGGCTAGTTAATACGTACAAAAATAGAATAAGAAATAGTATAACTAGTATTTGATAGCACATCGGAGTAACTACAGCCAATAATATTGAACATTTTAAAGTAATTAAAGGAATATAACTGAATTGTTTGTAATACAAAGGATAAATGCTTGAGGTAATGGACATCCCATTTATCCTGATGAGATTATTACGTATTGCATGCCTGTGTCAAAATATCTCAGGTGGCCCATAAATGTTTACAACTACTGTGTACCCCAAAAAACTTAAAAAAAAAAAAACAAAAAAACACTAACGAAGTATTAACCTGGAAAAATGTAGTTTTGTTCCTGAAGTAGGATTTTATCATATTCTTTGTAATTTTCAGTCTTCCCTGAGCTATAGCTCAATGGTTCTTAGCTTTAGCTGCACGTTAGAGTCACCTGCAGCTCTTTGCAAACTTCCGCTCCACAGCTGGGCCTCAGGCATCAATGTCTAAAGCTCTCCGGGTGATCGTAGCTTGCAGCCAGCGCCCTTCCAGCAACTCCAAGGCCGGCTGGTGTGAGCTCAAGCAGTCGGGAGTCGGACCAGCTGCACAGTTAATACATATATGTCCTAGGCTCTTCTCTCCTTCCAACGCAAATATGTGCACAGACCCTGCCTGGAACCGCAGCCCTGTTCTCACAACCAAACTGCCTCTCGGGCCAAAATTCCAGAATCAAATTTCTGCAAGTGGACAAACGGAAGCGGAAATAAGCCCTTTCCCAACGCTAGATGACTCGATTTCGTCTCGGTCTTCCCCTGCCGGCTGGGCAGAGGCACCAGGATCAGACAGACACATTCCCTGTGGACGGCGCTCCCATCGGATGACTGGAGGGACTGGACACCAGGCGCAGGCAGTACTTCAGGGTGACCATAAATCTCCCAAACATCCACAACGGCTCGCTCTCTCAGCTAAGGCGACAGCGCTGCCATTTTGGATCCTGTTCAGCCGCGCGAAGCCGGCGTTTGCACAGATTTTCTGACGTCATATTAAGGCGCACCGGGCGCGCAGACTTCTGGGAGATGAAGTCCTTGCGAAGGCAGCGCATTGATTGGGAGCGCGGGAGCCAGGACCCTTTGCGCAGGCGCGTTGCTTACCCGACCTGAAGAGGCGCCGTCTTCCCGGGTCCCGAGCACTCTGTGCCGGAGGTGAGGGTTGTGGGTGTGTGTCTTCGAGGAGCGGACTGAGAGCAGCAGCTTAGAGACGGGACTTGAGAACTTTGGGGAGGTGCTGTAGGAGCAAAACGGGGTGACAAGGGCGAGGCCAGCAGAGCGTGTGTCGCGACGACTCGGTGCGGAGGGAAAGTTGTGCACCCACCCCCGTGTGTGCGTGTGTCCCGTGGGGTCTGGGCACCCATTGTCTGTCGGTCCCGGACTTTCAGGTTGGAGGTTTGGAGCCTTCCTCCGCCCCTCCCGTTTCTTCTTCCCATAATGGATGCTTAATGAACGTGGGTGGAATTGACACCAAATTTAGGGTGCTGCCCGCTCCCTCTTTCCTAGCAAGCGCCTCAGATTGCCTCATTTAGCTCCCTGCCCTGGGCCTCCGCATGAGTGCTGGAGGGCTTCATGGAGGAGGTGGGATTTGACGTGAAAAAAAAAGAAAAAACCAGGAAAGCAGCAGCTAAGCGTTAGGCAGATTTGAGCTGGAGAGAATTTTTACAGAAATTTAGCAACAGTGGTAGACAAGGTTGAAGAAAAGGTACGCTGGGAGAGAATCAGGACAAGACCCAGTAGGCAAGGTGGCTTGTATAGGTGTGATCCAGGGACTGACACGAATCAAACTATTTGGGGACAGTTGTTCTAGAGGTCACATTCAGGACTAGAGAGGGGAAAGGACCAGAAGCAGAGAGCCAGTTAGGGACGTATGGCACTTTTGAAGTAAGCTGTTGTGGACCTGAATTCAGGTGGTGGTAGTGAAAGGGAAGGATACGGATGACATTGCAAAAGAAGAGTCAAAAGGGCCTGGTGACTAGATTTGGGAGGAAAGACAGTGAGGTAAGAGTTTGAGTTTGGGACACCTGGGAGAAGAATAAAACATCTGATACAAATGTAAAGCCAGGAAGAGGCGTGGATGTGGGGACTTGCCTAAAGGAAGATAGTTTTGAGGTGACGGCGGAACGCCTAATTCAAGGTTTGCAGTCATTTGGAAGTGCAGGATGAGTTTGGAAGAATGCAGTACCGTTGTGCAATTACAAGACAGTTACAGGACATGGACATCTGTAGAGTTGGAAAGTGGAGCCCTGAGTGTGGATGGACTTTCTGAGGGATGGCAAAAATGAAGAAAGTACAAAGACTGAGCTATGGGCAGCATCCATGTTTCCAGGGCAAAAGTGGGGAAAAAGAGTCACACAGAGACAGCAATTTTAGTGGTTGGAAGAAAGGCTAGTGCAGTATCATAGCAGTTACAGTAACCACTGGAACAAGCAGAAGCTTGTCAGAACAGTGAAAAGTTACACAAAAAGAGAGATAAGATCAGAAGTGCATTGGTAGGCCGGGTACAGTGGCTCATGCCTGTAATCCCAGCACTTTGGGAAGCCGAGGTGGGCAGATCACTTGAGGTCAGGAGTTCAAGACCAGCCTAGCCAACATGGTGAAACTCCATCTCTATAAAAATACAAAAATTAGCTGGGCATGATGGCGGGTGCCTGTAATTCCAGCTACTCGGGAGGCTTTGGTGGGAGAATCACTTGAACCTGAGAGGTAGAGGTTGCAGTGAGCTGAGATCATGCCATTGCACTTCAGCCTGGGTGACAAGAGTGAAACTCTGCCTCAAAATAAAAAAAGGTAGCTTTCAAGCATGCCCTTTCAGGTGTGTGAGGGGCAAAACTGAAAAACCGGGACTGGAGAAGAGTAAGTGGTGACAGTATGGAGTCAGTAGGTTTGTATTACTCTCCAAAAAGTTTGATCATGAAAGGAAAGCTTAAATGAGAACTCTTTTGCTAGAAGGAGGTCATGGGATTCAGTGAAAATAGTTTCAGGTAGAGGAGGCTTGTATGTCTTTGAAGATGTCGAAAGAAAGTACTACTGGGGTGGAAAATGCTGGGCGGAGGGGGGGAAAAGACTAGGGGCCAGGTGTGGCAGCTCACGCCTGTAATCCCAGCACTTTGGGAGGCTGAGGCGGGTGGATCATGAGGTCAAGAGATTGAAACCATCCTGGCCAAAATGGTGAAACCCTGTCACTACTAAAAATACAAAAAATCTGTAATCCCAGCACTTTGGGAGGCCGAGACAGGCGAATCACGAGGTCAGGAGATCCAGACCATCCTGGCTAACCCGGTGAAACCCCGTCTCTACTAAAAAAATACAAAAATTACCGGGCGAGGTGGCGGGCGCCTGTAGTCCCAGCTACTCGGGAGGCTGAGGCAGGAGAATGGCGTGAACCCGGGAGGCGGAGCTTGCAGTGAGCTGAGATCTGGCCACTGCACTCCAGCCTGGGCGACAGAGCCAGACTCTGTCTCAAAAAAAAAATGAAAAATAAAAAAAAATACAAAAATTAGCTGGGCGTGGTGGTGCATGCCTGTAGTCCCAGCTACTCCGGAGGCTGAGGCAGGAGACTGCCATGAACTCAGGAGGCGGAGGTTGCAGTGAGCAGAGATCACGCCACTGCACTCCAGCCTGGGCCACAGAGCAAGACTCCATCTCCAAAAAAAAAAAAAAGAAAAAAGTTAGAACACAGGTAAAGTCCTGGAGATAGACATTTCTGTCTTGTTGACCTCACACATCTCGCTGCCTAGCACCTAACGGCTACTTGGTACATAGTCGTTGAATAGTGCGATGAGTGGATGGATTGCACTGAGCAGTAGAAAGGAAGAGAACTTGTATTTGTTGAATGAACTGGATGATAAATGCTTTATATTAATGGTCTTACCATTTGTAACTACTCTGTGAGTTAGGCAACAAACAACTATTGGCTTAAGTAACTCATCCAAGGCTTCATGGTTAATAATTCCCTGCCTGTGTAGTGCTTTCTACCATATAACCCTGCTTCCCTTGAAACTCATTCCTGGGACTCTTTGGTGTGGTAGAAGACAAAAGTTATGCAGAAATTTCTTGCTTATACTTAGCTAAATTTGTTTTTCCAATAAGTTTTTGCTTGTTTTTCACATAGTTTTTGCAAACTGGTATTCACCCTCAAGGTAATATTCCTTTAAAAGTTTGCTAGGCCAGTGTGAACCCATTATTAAATAACCCTGAGCTGTCTGGCAACCTGTAACTCTTAAGCTATAATGATTTATTTTCATGAAAAGATAGCAAAGGTAACAGACCAATAGACTAGAACAGAAAATCCCCAAATATCCAAGAATATGATAGCCCCATTATAGAATAGAGTTAAATGCTGCCAGACAGACCAGTAAATATCTATTGATCTGGTCTTTTGACATTTTTGAAAACTTAGTTGTTCCTTATTTGTATCTTTGATTCATAAGTCTAGCTGTAGGACTCATCTCCTAAGGGAGAAAGGATGAAATCTGCACAGTTACAATGCCTCTTTGGAACCAGAGGTAGGTTCATTGTCAGTAGAGCCCATTTCTCTTTCTACCTGATAGTTACCTGTAGCCCCAGTACTGATTAGTCCTCCCTGTTTGGGGTATGTAGTTCCGTGTCTGGAATTACCTGGTTTATTCCTATTCCAAATTTCTTTTTACATACTTATGTGAATAGATACAAGTATATATCCCAAGGGTACATCTATACTTTATGAATAGTCATACAATTAATAGAAAAAGTACCTTTTTATATAACTAAAGTTTTAAACATTGCCTTCCTTGTATTGCAACTTTTATGGCATACTTTATATTAACTTTTCTATTTTCAGTATGAAACTCATAGTCCTTCAAAGTTCAAATTATTTTATTTAGCACTAATGATTTTTATTACCTATCTGGCCAGTAGGAGCCAGAGTCATCTGAGTTTTCTTATTCAAGGATGTGGGGTCAGCTCAAATTCTGAATGTCCAAAACTGTACTCATTGGTTTTCCCTTCCGTCCTCCTTCTCTGTTGCTTATCTCCATGAACAGCATTGTTATCCACGCCGCAATGGTAACCTGGACATCATTTTTGCCCTCATCACCTTCAGCCTCTTCTTCCAGCCAGTGTATTGTCTGTTCTTCTTCTTCTTTTTTCCCCCTGAGACGGAGTCTTGCTCTGTTGCCCAGGCTAGAGTGCAGTGGTGTGATCTTGGCTCATTGCAACCTTTGCCTCCCAGGTTCAAGCGATTCTCTTGCCTCAGCCTCCCAAGTAGCTGGGATTATAGGTGCCCACCACTGTGCCTGGCTCATTTTTGTATTTTTAGTAGAAACGGGGTTTCACCATCTTGGCCAGGCTGGTGTTAAACTCCTGACCTCGTGGTCCACCCACCTCGGCCTCCCAAAGTGCTGAGATTACAGGTGTGAGCCACTGCGCCCGGCCTGTCTGCTCTTAATAGCTTGACAGCAGTGTCTTCCATTTCTGCTTCCACAGCTTTCATTCAGTTTGTCATCTTTCTTATTGAAGTACAACACTCTCCTCAGTGGTCTGCTCACCTCCATTCTTTCCTTCCTGTAAATCTCATCACACCACAGCCGCTCAGTGTGGCGTGGCCATCTGTTTTGGGGTCCCAAGGATCACCCCAGGTTCAGGGATTCACTAGAAGGACTCAAGACTCGACCCGTAGTTGTACTTCTGGCTAAGAGTATAGTGATGACCCTGCAAGGACAGGCAGCCAGATCATAAGGGGAAAAGACAAGCCAGGTAGAGGAGTCCACGTACAGGCTTGCTTCTATTCGCCTTCTCCCATGAGGGTGTCACATGGAGCACACTCCTTCCCCCAGCAACGAAAATGCAGCAACAATCTCTGCTCAAGGCAGCTCACTGGAGACTCAGCCCACGTTTTTACTGAGAGCTGGTCACCTAGGCACCGTCTGTCTAACACATACCAAAATTCCAGACCCTCCAATAGGAAAGCAGATGTTCACCATAAACCACATTGTTTGCATGAATAGTTTAGGCGTAGTAGACCACCGTTATCTCTTAGGGAACTGGGGAACCCTCTCAAAATCGAGGTTTCCAGCTGCCAGCGAAGGGCCAGCACGCAAGCAGAACTTTCTAGGAATAGCAGTCTCAGGTCTGCTGTAACTTTTCTGCACACTACTCTTCTTTCCTTTCTGTTATTTTTTCTGTACACCAAAATAAGGACATACTCTTGTTGAAAAAAATGTATAAAGAATGGTAAGAAAATAAAAATCTCTTATAACTCACCACTCAAATTTCACTTACATTTTAATATGTGTTCGTCCTTTTTCTATACATAATGTGCACGTACAAGTATGTAATTTTAAGAGTGTACATTCTTCACGTAGTATTTTTGAATTTCTTAGTGTTTTTTTTGTTGTTGTTGTTGTTTTTTGAGATGGAGTCTCACTCTTTCACCCAGGCTGGAGTGCAGTGGCATGATCTCAGCTCACTGCAACCTCTGCCTTCCAGGTTCAAGCGATTTTCCTGCCTCAGCCTCCGGAGTAGCTGGGACTACAGCCATGTGCCATCATGCCTGGCTAATTTTTGTATTTTTAGTACAGATGGGATTTCACCATGTTGGCCAAACTGGTCTCAAACTCCTAACCTCAAGTGATCCGCATGCCTCGGCCTTCCAAAGTGCTGGGATTACAGGTGTGAGCCCCCGCACCTGGTCATTCTCTGTGAGTTTTTCTCAATTGTTGATTTTTTTTTTTTTGTAAGAAAGCATTATAAAGCTGAAGTATCCTGGCTATCCCTCCCCAGTCTTATTTCCCTGTCTTCTCAGATATGTACACATTGGTGCTTATTGTCCCATGTGTTAATAGATTTTTGCAGGTATTATCTACCTGTTTTTAAATTTTATGTAAATATTATACAGTAAGTCATTCTATAACTTATTTTTTTCCCAGTAATTATGTTTTTTGCAGTTTATCTCTGTTAATAATGTATAATATTCATATATGTGTATATATTCACAAATCCATTATCTGATTAATGGACATTGAAGTTGTTTGCAGTTTATCACTAGTGATCTTCTCCCCACTGACTTGTAATGCCACGTCAGTCGCACATCAGGCTTCCCTAATGCTTGGATATGTTTTGGGATTTTCTCTTCTAGTCTATTCATCTGTAATTGATGTGGCTATCTTTTCATGAAAATAAATCATGATAGCATAAAAGTTAAAAGCTCCCAGGCTGACTTGGATTCAAGTTCTACCTCAGCTTCTTACAAAGCCTTAATTTCCTAATATGTAAAATAGTGTCTTCCTTATTCATTTATGAGGATGGAGTTAAATTATCCTTATAAAAAACACTTAGCACAATACCTGGCAAATAGCAAATGCTCAATAATGCTAGTTGTTATTAAGATGATGGGGTTTTTTTGTTTTGGTTTGTTTGAGATGGAGTTTCTCTCTGTCGCCAGGCTGCAGTGCAGTGGCACGATCTTGGCTCACTGCAACCTCCACCTCCTGGGTTCAACCAATTCTCCCGCCTCGGCCTCCCGAGTAACTGGGACCACAGGCGCGTGCCACCACGCCCAGCTAATTTTTTTGTATTTTTAGTAGAGACAGGGTTTCACCATGTTGACCAGGATGGTCTCCATCTCTTGACCTCGTGATCCACCTGCCTCGGCCTCCCAAAGTGCTGGGATTACAGGCGTGAGCCAATGCGCCAGGCCAAGATGATGTTTAATAGTGTTCCACTTATGTATGGACTGGACCAGAAATTACTTAACCAAGTCTCCAGATGTTTAAGGTATTTCAAATTTTTGCTGCCTTATTGAAAAGATTAAATGAGATAATACATATAGAGTGCTTAGGAAGTGCCCTGGAACATAGCTGTCAGTAAGGGTTAGTGTTAATGATGAGTCATAAAAAGCTGTGTACATATTATTACTTATTTCCTTAGTATAAATTCCTAGGAGATAATTGCTGGGTCAAACAGCATGTTTCAAGGCCCTTGCTATAAGTCACAGTGGTTTTTCTAAAGCACAGATGTGATGACATGTCCACACCCAAATCCTTCGGTAACCTCCATGTCTGTGGAGAAAGGGCTGTGCAAAACTCTCCTTGAGGAAACTGGCCTCTGCCTCCCTCTTTAGCTGCATCTTCCCCACAGCACGACTCACAGCCTAGACTTCTACCATTCTAAGCTGATTTTTGTTGTTAATCCTTGCCATGTAAAGACCTGCCTCCTTCTTTTTGAGAAACTTGAGGTTTTTTCCTCAAGATTTAGAAGGTTCTGGCTCCTCCCACATATGAAAACTTAGCTTAGATCCCACTCCTGTCAAGAAAGCTGCAGTGCTCCTCCCTCCACCCCTCCCTGCTGGGCTAGGTGAGCCTCTGAGGTGCTCTCATGGATTGCTGTGCGTATCGCTTTGCTGCACTTACACATCCTGGAGTGAAATATTATTTCATTTACTTGTTTGTTCTCTGTGCTAAGCTATAGCTTCTGGAGGACAAAGACAGTGTCTGACAGTTTTTTTGTGCTTGGTATAAGTAGTTGGTGCTGAATAAATGCTGGTTGAATGAGTCACAAGAAGCAGTGACCATATCCCCTTGACTGTTGGAGAATGGTCAGTGCACCACAAATACGCCTTTTCCTCCTCCTCACGAGGACCACACCATCTCCCAGCCACCACAAATCCCAGAAATGTGGGATTTAATGCTCTTGTTTTATTTTTATATTTTTTATTTTTGTAGAGACAGGGGTCTTGCTATGTTGCCCAGGCTGGTCTCGAGAACTCCTGGTCTCAAGTGATCCTTTTACCTCAGCCTCCCAAAGTGCTGGGATTACAGACGTGCGCCACTGTGCCTTGTCTGTTGTTTTCATTAGACTCTCGATTGCGAAAAACTGAGACTTCGCTAATCCCAGTAAAGGGAATTAGTGATAAGATCTTACGCAGAGCCCAAGAGGGTTAGAGTATTATGGCAATCTATGAATAAATAAGGCTGGTTTGCATGGAAATTGGACCCGTGGGTGGTGCTAGGCGAGGTGAGGGCCTCCCCAGGAATTCTTAGGTCTCTGCGTCAGTATTCCACCGCTGGTGGGACTGCACTGGGCTCCCCCTGCCTGCCCCTGGTCCCGTGGTCTATTATGACCTTTTCTCTACCTTGTACCTCCCACGTGCCCACGGGTTCTGCTGCTGGTAACTTTGGTTCCCCGATCCTCGTGGCTGCTTCGGGACCTCATGATATCCTTTCAGCTAGTCACTTACTTGTCCTGACATTTCTTAGTTCACATTCCCAAGGAAGGATGTCACCCCTTTTCAAGCCAGACCACGTCTCAGTCTACTACTCACCTATGCATCGCCCACCTGTGGCCTAATCAGTGTGGCTCCGGGAATGAGACCCAGGGTCACATGGTACAAAACCTGCCCAAGGGACGGTCCTTTAGCAGGGGCTACGAGTGGGGTCTTTTTCCTTTGAAGAGACTGGATTGTCTTTGATATGTCTTGTCCGTGTAGTCATTTACAAAATTGCTTATGACTTTTGCCCAGTAATTGTTCAGGGCAATACTGAATGTGAGTTTATACATATACGCACTGTGTGAATCTTACACAGTTCTTGACTCTCAGGAATAGAACTCTGCCTCTAGCATCATGGTAAAACCACCACCACATTGTGGTCTAATTTGCAATTCCATGGTTGTTGGCTCTCATTCTGGGGTGGTCTGGGGTTGTGCCTGGCCTTGCTTGACTTTGACCCCCTTTTGTAAGGTATTGAGAATGATATATCCCCCTGGTATGGGCTTCATGGGTCAAAACACTATGTGACGGTACTGGTCTTTCTCGTACCTTCTTTCTCACCCCACACTTCTGCTTCATTAGGACTCTGCCCTTGTCTACAGGGAGAGCACACAGGAAAGAATGGCTGCTGTGTCTCCGACCACCAGATGCCAGGTGAGGTGGCCTTTTGTGTTTCCGAAGTACTCCATTCGTCTCCAGAATAGAACCACTTTTCTTTATCCTGGAGCCTCTTTGAGCAGACCCAGCCAGGCAGATGAAGGACTCCACAGGGAGTATTTCTTTCCCATTTCACTTGAGGTGTCCTTTAGTGACCTTTTCTTGCCGTGAGCATGTGCCCACTAGCTCGTCACCAGACTCACAACTCCTGGAGCCTTCGCTGTGAGTGATTGTGCCTAGAAGCCAATGGTAGGGTCTGACTGGAAGGTTTGGGGAATAGTGGGCTGGTTCTGGTCCTGACTGTCCCTTTGATACATTCACGTGTGGACTGAGAGGAGGCCCCAGTGTTCAGGGAGCGTGGGGCTAGGCGGGGATGTGTGGTACACACTGTAGAGCACCTGTCTGCAGGTGCTGAGAGCCCTGAAGAGTCTCCTGTGCTACAGACATGTGGCTTGCTCCATTCCTGCCCAAGGGCAGAGTCTTGAATTCTGCACCCTGGCCTAGAACTTTTGCCGACACACTGGAGACTCATCTGAGGTTTTAGAACTGGAGGTAAAGAGATGCAATCTTACAGAATCACAGAGCATTGGAATGAAATGAGGCGGATCCTACAGATGATCTAATCAACACCATTATTCTAAGGATTTGTAAAAAACAAAGACAATTGGTGAAATCTGAGTAAGACTGTAGATTAGGTAATAGGATAAGATCAATGCTATTTTCTCCTTTTTATTTTATTTTATTTTTTTTGAGACACAGTCTCACTCTGTCGCTCAGGCTGGAGTGCAGTGGCACGATCTCACCTCACTGCAAGCTCCGCCTCCCGGGTTCAAGCGATTCTCCTGCCTCAGCCTCTGGAGTAGCTGGGACTACAGGCGCCGCCACCACGCCTGGCTAATTTTTTTGTATTTTTAGTAGAGATGGGGTTTCACCATGCTTCTGTCCTCATGATCTGCCCGCCTTGGCCTCCCAAAGTGCTGGGATTACAGGCATGAGCCACCACGCCCAGCCTATTTTCTCCATTTTTTATAGTTATACTGTGATCATAACAACAGTACGCCCTTGTTTTTACAAAATACATATTGAAATATTTAGGATTAAAGACATCTGATGTCGGCAAGTTAGTCAAGAGGCTTAGCAAAAAGATAGGAGAATGTGTATCTAGAGAGAGACAGAAAGATAAAGCAAACGTGGAAAATGCTGCCATTTGAGGAAGCCAGGTGAAAGGCACACACGGCTTTTTCTGTGCTGGTTTGAGAGGTCTGAAGAAAGAGGCTGATACTCAGAAGCTCAGCTGCAGGTGTAGTGCTGTGAGATTCTGACCAAGAGCTCCATGTCCTGGGTGATGAGGCCACTTTTCCCAAGGGCTTTAAAGTTCTACTCAGTCCATTGTTTTTCTTCCCTCCCACCATGCATCCTCCAGGGCTGTCATCTTTGACATTTTTGGTCTGGTCCAAATAAAGAGAAGGGTTAAGAGTAAAGGAGAATGTGATTGTATTTTCAGGAATCAGTGACATTCGAAGACGTGGCTGTGGTTTTCACAGATGAAGAGTGGAGTCATCTGGTCCCCATACAGAGGGACCTCTACAAGGAGGTGATGCTGGAGAACTATAACAGCATCGTGTCATTGGGTAAGGGGAGCCTCCATGAGGAGGTACAGTCTGTCCTATGCTAATGTGGGGCTGAGAGGGCTGAGGAATTATTACCTTTCTCCTCTCCACTGAGTCCTGAGCCACTTGAGAGACAAGGTAAGAGTTGAAAGATGTGGCATCAGAGTACAGCAACGGTGGGCTCAATACTGAACCCCAGCATTGGGCAGACATGCCTCCCCAGCCATGGGCGGTGCTGGACGACCATAGGCTCTCTCGCTCAGCAGCCTGCCCTGGCAAAATGGAGGGAGGGCCAGTGAGGGCTGAGGGACCGAGCAGAATGTGTGTTAGAGGCAGGGAGCTGGGTCTCCAGAGGGACAGGCGGAAGACGCTGAGTTCCATACGCCCAGCTATTCTCCCAACCCGCCAGTCAGGTAACTCAGCTCACCCAGAGGAGTGTGCGCTGGGGCAGGGGGCCATCTTGTCGGAATAGAGGGTTGTGCCTCTGAGGTCACCAGAGATATGTTTGATTTTGAGTATTTGTCTTAGGTACAGTCTTAGATGCTCACAGAACACACTTTGTAATTATAGAGACTTGTGTGACAAAGAGAAAGTTGAGTCACTACTGATCCCGGTATTAGTGAAAAGTAAAGTTGGGCTCCTGGAGGTTATGGGAACCTCTCAGGGGCTTCACGAGTGAGAGGCTGAGGGAATGCCCAGAATGAGAAGCCGGTTTAAAATCAGCAGCAGTAACAGGACTCGCAGTGCAGATTTCCTACCAGGCAGGTCTAAAAGTAAGTGCTAACACCCCCCAGAGTAATGTAATCAGGCCAGTAGTCTCCCAAACAGAATGGAATATTCAGGAAGGAGCCTTTGTTACAGGTGTTAGCAGATGGCTGTTGAGGAAAATAGAGCCCCTGAGGTCAGAGACCCAGAGCCACAGGGAGATGCTGGGTGTGGCCATTTTGTCAACAGAGAATCCACATAAAATCCAGTAGACAGTCCTTGGGCCCAATAAGAAAGTGCCTCTTTCCCAAGTTGGGGCCTCAACAAAAGGGAAGTTTAGAGCCCAAGCCTATTTCCAGGATCTGTTTTTTAATATAACCAAAAATGGATAGATCTGCTTCAGGGAATTTATCCTAAGGAAATAATAGGACTAACAATCCGTGGTATATGGAGATGTTCATTACACTATTGTTTGTTAATAGCAAAACATTAAAAATGATCTAAATGTCTGTCATAAGGGAATTCACTAAATAAATTATGTTATCCATACAATGTCATATCCCGTTGCTATTACAATGGTGAGGTAGATCAGTGCTGATTGAAATAAAATAGTATTTTAAATTTATTATGTGAAAAAAAAAATCAAGTTTACAAGTCAGCATCATTTCATTATCCAGTTTTTTATTTTTTAATTTAATTTTATTTTTTCATTTGAGAGAGTCTCACTCTGTTGCCTAGACTGGAGTGCAGTGATGCAATCTCGGCTCACTACAACCTCCGTCTCCAGGGTTCGAGCAGTTCTCGTGCCTCAGTCTCCCAAGTAGCTGGGATTACAGCCATGAGCTACCATACCCTCCTAATTTGTGTATTTTTAGTAGAGACGGGGTTTCACCATGTTGACCAGGCTGGTCTCGAACTCCTGACCTCAGGTGATCTACTCGTCTTGGCCTCCCAAAGTGCTGGGATTACAGGGGGGGGCCACTGTGCCCAGCCTCATTATCCAGTTTTTAACAGAATGTATCTAGAGGCATCTTTGGATATCTGAATATAAAGAAAGAAAATACACTGTATGCAAGGTGATTTTTTTTTCTTTTTGCTTGTATAGACTTCTAATTTTCCTAGAATGAACCGGACAGATTTGTTTCAATGAAAGCATAGTGCTCAAGGCAAACAAATGAACAAAAATGGGCAGTTTTGATACACTTGTTTATTCAAGGTGACTTAATTTCATTCTCATCTCCCCTAAGCCTTCATCCTACCAGTACTAACACCGGGAACTTCCCATTCACTTCACGGGGAAGAATAAACATGTGAATCCACATGGGTTCTCTCAACCTTCTGACCTTGTGCCACTTGCTCCTTTTATAGCCTCAGTCTTGGCCTCTGTCCAGAGTTTCCTCTGCTCTGGACTCTGCATTCTTGGCCTGTGCATTCTGCCTTTTGCATTTTCTCTCTAAAAGACTTAGATGCTGTGTCCAGGCACAGTGGCTCATGCCTGTAATCCCAGCTGTTTTGGAGGCCGAGGCAGGTGGATCACCTGAGGTCAGGAGTTCGAGACCAGCGTGGCCATCATGGCAAAGCTCCTTCTCTACTAAAAATACAAAAATTAGCCAGGTGTGGTGGCACCCGCCTGTAATTCCAGCTAGTGGGGAGGCTGAGGCAGGAGAATCACTTGAACCTGGGAGGTGGAGGTTGCAGTGAGCCAAGATCGGGCCACTGCACTCCAGCTGGGGCGACAGAATGAGATGCTGTCTCAACAGCAACAAAAAAGTCTTAGAAGCTGGGATTGAGCTTTGGGAGAGTGATATTTCATCACACACAGCCACTTGCTTTGTTTCTTTCTCTTTGAGCAGGCCTTCCAGTTCCTCAACCTGATGTGATTTTCCAATTGAAGAGAGGGGACAAACCATGTGTAGTAGATCTGCATGGGTCTGAGGAGAGAGAACGGCCAGAGAGTGTCTCTCTAGGTAACTGAGTGTGAACAGGACAGGATGGAATTTTGTTATTTGGGTGATGGGGGAACATCAGCTCTCGCCTTTCTCTCACATTCCAGTCTTTTGCTTGTTATTTATTGTGTGTCACCCACTAGCTTTCATTTTTTCCCTTTACACCTTAACGTGTTATTCGTCTATATTCACCAAGTGTTACTTTCTCACATCTGTCACACGGCACACTCATGCCTTGCTCTTTCGTTTTTTTTTTCCCAAGACAGAGTCTCGCTCTGTTGCCCAGGCTGGAGTGCAGTGGGGTTGTCTCGGCTCACTGTAACCTCCGCCTCCCGGGTTCAAGTGCTTCTCCTGCCTCAGCTTCCCAAATAGCTGGGATTACAGGCGCCCGCCACCACACCCGGATAATTTTTGTATTTTAGTGAGACGGGGTTTTGCCATGATGGCCACGCTGGTCTCAAACTCCTGACCTCAGGTGATCCACCCACCTTGGCCTCCCAAAGTGCTGGGATTATAGGAGTGAGCCACTGTGTGCAGCCACACTTTGCTATTTCTATTGAGCGCCATCCGGTCCATTCGGCATGCTCTCGTAATTGTGCTGGCCATGCTCCCGCTGGACATTCTCCTGTTTTCTGAGGTGTCCACCATCCGTTCTGTTCCCTGCCACCTTCTTCACTCCCAGGTCTCAGTCCCTCTCTGCAGTGTAGTACTATTTGTGGGAGCAAGCAATGCAGTGACCATACATTACTTTCAGACTCATGGAAGCATCTCTTCTTTCTGCTGTAATATTTTCTAGTCCAGGAAAAAAAACTGCGTCTGTTTTCTGTTTGTTCCAGAAACTAAGCCTGAGATTCATGATGCTTCAGACGAAAAATCAGAAGGATCATTGAGGGAATGCCTTGGAAGGCAAAGTCCTCTGTGTCCTAAATTTGAAGTTTATGCACCCGATGGCAGGATGGGAACAGAAAAGCAAAGCCCTTCAGGGGAGACTCGTAAGAAATCTCTCTCCCGGGAGAAAGGCGTGCGGCGAGGGTCAGCCCTGCCCAGGGAAGTTCTCACTAAAGAGAGACACCAGGAATGCAGTGACTGTGGGAAGACCTTCTTTGACCACTCATCCCTCACCCGCCATCAGAGGACTCACACTGGGGAGAAGCCCTACAGCTGCCGTGAGTGTGGGAAAGCCTTCAGCCACAGGAGCAGCCTCAGCAGACATCTGATGTCGCACACCGGGGAGAGCCCCTACGAGTGCAGCGTGTGCGCAAAAGCCTTCTTCGACCGCTCGTCCCTCACTGTCCACCAGCGAATCCACACCGGAGAGAAGCCCTTTCAGTGCAGCGAGTGTGGGAAAGCCTTTTTTGACCGTTCGTCCCTTACTCGACACCAGAGAATTCACACTGGAGAAAGTCCTTATGAATGTCATGAGTGTGGGAAAGCCTTCAGCCAGAAAAGCATTCTTACTCGCCACCAGCTAATCCACACTGGCAGGAAGCCGTACGAGTGTAACGAGTGCGGGAAAGCTTTCTATGGGGTCTCGTCACTGAACAGACATCAGAAGGCTCATGCCGGGGACCCTCGCTATCAGTGTAACGAGTGTGGCAAAGCTTTCTTTGACCGCTCATCCCTTACGCAGCATCAGAAGATCCACACTGGAGACAAGCCATATGAATGCAGCGAGTGCGGGAAAGCCTTCAGCCAGCGGTGCCGGCTCACGCGGCATCAGCGCGTCCACACGGGAGAGAAGCCCTTTGAATGCAGCGTGTGTGGGAAAGTTTTCAGTTCAAAATCTTCCGTTATTCAGCATCAGCGGCGTTACGCCAAGCAGGGAATAGACTGAGTTGGGTGAAAGCTTGGGTGGGACAAGAACTTCCATACAAATTCGAGATAGGTCTCCCCTGTCTTAAACAAAGCTGCCATTTGCTCATTCTACCCACCCTGGCTGCTGCTGTCCTGGCCTGCTTGTGTGCCAGAGTGTTCAATAGGCACTCCCTTCCTGCTGTGTTACAGAACCGCAGGCAGGCCACGGAGATGACTCCCTTCCTGCCGTGTTACAGAACCGCAGGCAGGCCACGGAGATGACTCCCTTCCTGCCGTGTTACAGAACCGCAGGCAGGCCACGGAGATGACTCCCTGCCGTGTTACAGAACCGCAGGCAGGCCATGGAAATGACTCGAACGATACAAAAGTTTGACGAGGTTTGTCAGACAATAGGATAGATGTTAGGAGGAGACACACCTCTTGTCTGAGAACCTAGGCCCCAGGTATCACTGCACTTTAAGTAACTGGCGGCTGCAGCAGGAAGGAAAGGCAGAATGATACCAGAGCAGTACTATTTTTTTTCAGAACAGTTGTTTTGATGGCTGTTTTAGTCCCCCTGTCTTGGAGCTTTTTGGGGCCCTAATCTTGTTCTCTTGTGTCCCAGCTTTTAGACCTCTTCCTTCTACTGCTAGTAGCCAGCACTTCCTGAGCGCTTACGATGAGGTAGACTCAGCTAAGGGTTTTACAGGAAGTAGATTAACTGATCCTGTCGCCAACCCTATGGAGTAGGCACTGTTACCATCTGCATCTCTAGATGAGCACCCTGAGGTTTATAGAGATTAAATCACTTGCCCAAGGTGACCCAGCTGGTAAAAGGTGATGCCAGGTCTTGAAGACAGGTCCACCTTCAAAGTCTATTTTCTTTACCATTATGCTTGACGGTTTGTTTTATAATTTATGTATATGTATTATCCTTTCAACTAGATTGTAAGCACTTGGAGGTGTGACTTACAGGTCTTTGTATCTCACACAGTGCCTTGCTAATGGGTGCTCAATAAATATTTATATGAATGAATGACTTTTCTACTTACCAGATTCTCTCCATTCAAAACACCTCTTGGATTTGCATTCTTTGTCTGAATTCACAGCCCAGCCTACACCTTTATCATCCCCAGCTCCCACTCCTGGCAGCAGTAGCTTCCTCATTCCAATTCTTCCCACTTGATTGTTGAAGAGGGATGTGCTAAGATGTGGTACAGTAATAGCCCACAGAGAGCTATGTCTCCCTTAAAACCTGATGAGAACCACTCTGTCTTATTCTGTCCTCATTATTTGGAACATCTGGCTTCCAAAGTCACCACAAGGGAGGAAGAGAAAGCTAGAGGAATTTGTCGGATTTCTTTTTAGACCCAGGCTTACATCACTTCTGTCCACATCTAAGAAGACAGAACCCAGCACTTGGAGGCCAGGAAGGTAAACAAGCACCTCGAAAGCTGGTTAACACTGAGAGCCTCTGTCACAAAGTAAACAAGCACCTCGAAAGCTGCTTAACACTGAGAGCCTCTGTCACAAAGTAAACAAGCACCTCGAAAGCTGGTTAACACTGAGAGCCTCTGTCACCGTTACAGTTTGCATATTACTGTTAACCCAGTCTTTGCAAGTGACCGCTTCCTGCCCATCGTTGCCTTCCTCAAGACCTAAAATAGCTCCCTATTCAGTGAAAAATTATCTCAATATTTAAGATCTGCCTTAACATGATCCCCATTGCTGAACTTTACCTCCTGACTCCAAAAACCCTTCTATTCCCTGGGCCCAGTCCTGTATTTTCATTTTTGTTAAAGGATACGCACTAGATGACCTTGACTCTAGGCATCTGCATTCTCTTGCTCTTCGCTTAGGGTGAAGCTCAGAAAAGGACCTGGTTCTGAAAGGCTGTCTGGAATTAGACTGCCCTACGTGATTCCCCGTGGATTGAGATGAATTTCCTCTGGAAGTTCAAGTCAGATTCGGGAAGCTGAATTACCAAACAGACCCTCCTCAACCTACTAACAACCCTATTCCTCTGTTCACCCTAGAGCAGACAAACGGCAGGGAAGACTTGATCTGTGGACTTTTGAAAGCAACTTGAGGAAAAACACGTAACATAATCTGTGGGTGTGGACAATATGCGATATTGCTAAATAATGTCAAGTAGGAAATAAAAAAAACTATGGACAAACTTTTGGCTGATGACTGTCTGGGAGTTCTGAATTTTTACTGCCTCATTGAAAGTAAATTGAGGGTCAGGTATTTCCCTAATACATTCTACCATTTTCAGCAAGATGAGACTGGAACGAATTCAGGATTCGATGGACATCTTTTTTACTCTATTATCCTTGGAAAAGATACCAATGGACTTTTGAGCACAGTAGTAATGTAAACAGAGTGGTGGAGATATGGATTTGATGGTTTTCCCTTTGTTCCCCTTTTAAATTTGGTTATCAGAGCTTTTTTTTTTTTTTTTTTTTTCAATGTGGATACTGTTCCACTTCCTTCTGAAAACAGGAAATGGCCATTTTATCTTTTAATTAATATCTCCCAATATGGCATGTAGTAGTGGAGACCTTAAATTCTGAAGTTTTGGCTTCACCTAATGGCCATTAGTAGGGTCAAATCTTGGAATCAGAAATTGATCAAATTGGAAGAATATCAGCATTCTTAAGGTATAAAGCAAAAATGACAGGATAGTGTTTGCAGGGGTTTGAGCCTCAAAGAAATGAAATAATATCACTGATGTCAAGCTTTAAAAGGAGTTTCAAAGACATGAAATAATATTACTGATGACAAATTAAAGTTTTTGTTTTTTGTTTGTTTCTTTCTTTTGAGACAGTGTCCCGCTCTGTCGCCCAGGCTGGAGTGCAGTGGCGTGGTTTCGGTTACTGCAACCTCTGCCTCCCAGGTTCAAGCAATTCTCCCACCTCAGCCTCCCAAGTAGCTGGGAATACAGGCGCCTGCCACCACGCCCGGCTAATTTTTTGTATTTTTAGTAGAGACGGGGTTTCACTATGTTGGCCAGGCTGGTTTCAAACACCTGACCTCATGAGCCACCCGCCACCACCTCCCAAAGTGCTAGGGTTACAGGTGTGAGCCAGTGCGCCTGGCCAAACTCTTAAGTTTTAAGAGAGAATTGAGTGCTTGCCACACAAAGGCACAGAAGCATTCCACGAATCAAAAGAAAGGTTGGCAATGCTAGAGAACCTTGCAATGGAAAGAATATGGCAGATGGCAAAAAGCTGGGCACCGCAACCTGGCACAGACAGTTGGCAGGCCCACCAATCCCAGGAATGCATCTGGGGTGTCAGGATGCTAGGGCGGCCAGCGGGAGGGTTGGCCAGCTTCTGGGCTCAGGCACACCCACCCCCTCCTCCCCAGGCCTGCATTTCTAAGAATAACCCCCTCTGCAAGTCTGACATAATAAATCACACAGAGCTGAAGATAGCAAAGATACCAGGTGCCAGCCATTAGACAAGATGAATATGTTCATTTTCAATAACCAGCTAGAACTGATTCCTCAGGAAGTCTAAGAGATTGACTGCAATGGATATCAAGTTCCTAAGTGGTCTATGTTATTGAGGCAAGACTCCTGTGGTAAAAAGCAAGTTGAAGTAGACATGTTGAGTTGGGTGATGGGGATCCTAGTGAGGGGGCTTCTCTGAAATGCTTTTACAAGGGTTTGAGTGGATTGGGAAATGTATATACAGATCGACCATTATAATTTGAAATCCAAAATGCTCCAAAATATGAAGCTTTTTGAGTGCTGAGCTAAAGCCACAAGTGGAAAATTCCACATCTGATCTCATGTGATGGGTCGCAGGAAGACCAAGATTTAAGGGGCGTGAAGACAGGACGAGGCTTCAAAGGAGAATGAGTAGATGGAGATAGGTCAGAGAAATACCAGGGGACAGCAGTGTCACAGAAGTCACAAGATTTTCAAGAAAGAGGGAATGATGAAAACACTCCATGTTGCCAGGTAATCAAGGAAGACAAAGCCTGAGAAGGCTCCACTGGAGTTTATCAGTGACATTTAGCAGTGATATTTACAGAGTTGGAAAGATGATGATATATTGCTAAATGATAAACCCAGGTTACAAAATGTTTGGAACTTGAATACATTTACAATATATTTCCACATATATGCACAGAAAAAGAAGGACCAACACCAAGATATTATCCCTAATTATCTTTGACTAGAAAGCTTATATACTATTTTCTTTTTTTTTGTTTTGAGACGGAGTCTCAGTCTGTCGCCCAGGCTGGAGTGCAGTAGCATGATCTCGGCTCACTGCAACCTTTGCCACCCGGGTTCAAGCAATTCTCCTGCCTCAGCCTTCCCAGTAGCTGGGATTACAGGCATGCACCACTACACCCAGCTAATTTTTTGTATTTTTTTAGTAGAGACGGGGTTTCACCATGTTGACCAGGATAGTCATGAACTCCTGAAGTCAGGTGATCCACCCGCCTTGACCTCCCAAAATGCTGGGATTGTAGGTATGAGGCACCATGTCCAGCCACTTTATACACTTTTCTTTCTCTCTCTCTCTCTTTTTTTTTTTTTTTTTTTTGAGACGTAGTCGCACTCTGTCACCAGGCTGAGGGCAGTGGCGCCATCTCAGCTCACTGCAACCTCCGTCTCCCAGGTTCAAGTGAATCTCCTGCCTCAGCCTCCTGAGTAGCTGGGACTACAGGCGTGCGGCACCACGCCCAGCTAATTTTTGGTGTTTTTAGTAGAGACAGGGTTTCACCATGTTGGCCAGGACGGTCTCGATCTTTTGACCTCATGATCCGCCTGCCTCGGCCTCCCAAAGTGCTGGGATTACAGGTGTGAGTCACCGTGCCCAGCCTATCTCCTTTTTATACTTCCCAGTTGTCTCCAGTGAACATGGAATGTTTTAAAATATTTTTAAAACTGCAAATAAAACGAGGAAGCACATTTTAAAATACGTGGAGTGATGAACACCAAATTTAGTACAATGGTTACCTCGTGGAGGGGAAGAGAGGAGATGAGGGAGGGGCCTCAACCTTAGTGTTAATGTTTATTTCTTAAATTAGGTGGTGGGTCCATAGGTGTTTGCTTTAGTCTTTATGCTTCTTGTATGTCTTAAGCGTTTCATAATGCATTTAGAAACTAAATACAGAAAATGAGGGCTTTATAAATTTCACTATT